GCTGCAGTAACACTACTGAGTAGCTCAAAGTCCTTTTCACATTTTATTTCACAGTCGCTTGTTTTTTGAGAAATTGTTTTGGTTGTTTGTTCTAGGAATAATACTAGCTGTCAGTTTCAGTTAAAAAGTAGAAAAAGTAGTTGCTAAATCTACAATTGGAATCAACGAGAATGGTTTGTTGTTTAAACTGAGGGTCGTTTCTGTACTTTTGGGAGCACTAAACGATATCCTACACTGTTAGAAATAAAGGTACTGTGTAGGTATATTTTTCATTCTTCAAGGTACATACAATGTAAAAGTACCTTCAAGGATAAAACAGTGGTTTTAAGGTCCAATTGTGAACCTTAAATAAGTTTTTCCTAGGTGAAAAGTATCCTAGGTATTTGTACATTTTCTTAATCTAATGTTTTAAAACAGAACAATAAAAATAGCCTGTAGACGCAATAGGGTCTGTAGAGTCAATACAACTTAGAAAATATAATTTCAATGGATTATGATACAATTATGTTCCCTGACCAAAGGTGCTGAGACTAGAGGGGTACTGCCCCAGTGACAGTTCCATGCCTTCATTTTTAAGAGTGTACCTGGCAGCCCATGACACACATGGGTCATAATAATTGGTATAAAATAATAAATCTGTCAGACAAACTAAATAAATACTACATGCTCATGGTAATGGGTTGGGGGCTTGTCCTCTCTATCAATACCAAATCTCATGTTTTCATGGTCTCTGCTTTGCAGACTTTTACAAACATTTACAAACTTTTGGGGCCTGTGTTTGCTTAAATGGGTCTTTGTTTCCTTCAACAAATGTAGCCTAACATGCTTCATGTTTGTCAGGGTTTACAGCTCACCTGACGGCAGAAAAGGTGATAGTACAGAATTAATATATTTTTTTTTCATTCTGTTCAAATTGCCAAGTGTGTATATCAGTTGACATCCTCTGTGTTGATGCTGTACCAAGCTAATCAAACACAAGGAATACATTGACTGTGATAAATGGGTCAACTGCTGTTAATGTTACATTGTGTTAGTTTGTTAAATTATATATGTATAAACAGATGTAGAGCCTATGTATTGCCCGGTGCCACCAACCAAAATTCAGAGCCTGTGGCCCAAGTTGATTAAAGTTCTAAAGTAGTGTTTCAGCTCTCAGTGTTTTTGAATGAGGAACGATACATAGATCAGTCCTAAAGGCACCCTATTTGATTCTAGAGAATGAAGAGAGGCTGGAAAATGGTAATGTAAAAAGTAATTATGACCATTTTTGGTACTCTAAGAAAAATGTAGGACATGGGCCCTTGAAATAAGCTGCGTTACACCACAGTAAACAGTACCTAATGAAATAACTTGGATTGGGGCAGACAAGCTTTGCAGGGGAGACCACCATGGTCAGCAGACAGCAATGTTCTTATTAATAGAAAGTTTTAAATTAATTCCTTTTTTCAAAGCAGCATTTTTACATCTGTCTACCCCTGTGTGTAAATATATCACTGTGCATCAGCAACATCAGCTGATTTGAATATTTGATCTACCTAAAATATGGGCATTAAACACACTATGTACTTCATCTTGTACGTATATGTGATACCTCACTTTTTCATTATTTTGTGCTGCTGTAAAAAAATAGTTATTTAATCATCAGGAATAGAGGTTTGTCATTTCTAGGTGTTGTAAAATGAAAGATGAAGTAAGTTAAAATGTCTGATCTTACTTACTCTCTTTAAGTAGTCAGCCAAACGATCTGAGTTCCAGCCCATAACCTCTGACTTCGAGGGAATATTATCCAAATTCATTGTGACCAAGTAACTTTCTGTTTTGCAATACAATAAAGAAATAATTGTAATATAACAGGATTAACCTTGGAGTACTCTCAAGTTACTGTGTGAAAAAGACAGATGCAGTGAACGTTTTTCTTCTGCTGGCTCATCTGGGTCACAGAGTATGCAGCAACAACCACTCCTTCCTTCTGCTGGTGGCTTTGAGTAGAGGAAGTGTTTTGTCATTAGTTATTTTAAAACACTGTGTTTAGAAACCTTGCAATGCTGATGGTGAACTTAGACATGCAGACTTTATGCTTTAGATGAAAGCAGCGTTGGAGTGCAGAGTAGTTGCATACACAGTAAAGGCTTCAAATATCAGACTAACTTTTAGCTATCTACAGTCTTTACTGCAGACCTATACCAAATATTCTATTTCTTCTCAAATAAACATTAATGTATTTTCTTATTGATTTGGTCTTAAATACAGTTCTTGAAACAAAGCTACTCACTAAACACACAGTTCTTTGCTTCCAGAGTAATATATTTCATGCTCTTTAAACAAAAATAAGCACAGGCTTTCATTTTACAAAGTAGAAGGGAAAAATGTTGAAGGCTTGTATCCTTCAGATGAAGGGGAGCACATGAGAAATGGTTTTGGCCTATAGGTGATTGCATGATGAACTGATACTGGTAGGATGATTTACTTGAGTGCAAATGTGGGTCAGTTGTACACAGCAGTACAGAATTATCTGCTTTAGATTACCCTAACAAAGCCATGTTATGTTTAAACCATGAGACTGTCTTAAACATTAAGCACAAATACTTTAAAATGTTTGATAAACTTGCAAAATATGTACTTAGAAAGTGGGTACAAGGAAACAATCCTGAGAAAAATCTGGTCTTTGTGCAACCTAAACCTAATCTACAGTGTAGTTTCTGGTTTGACCCCCAGGTTGTCTTATTATGCATGGCCTACACCAAACAGAAAAGGGGGAAATCCCTGGTGGGAACAGAACAGTCGGCCAGCTGCTGAGCCTTTTCCTTATAACACCAAGGTGAGAGTCGTGAGGAGGCTCATCACTTACCTCCAGGCCAGCAGGAATCCCAGTGAATGTAGCTGCTGCCCTGGGGGGCTTTGCACAAGGTTGCCGCCTCACTTTTTACCCAAAAGAAGCCTGTAAAGAAGGGCGGAACTTTCTTGTCTCACTCAACTGAGAAAAAGGTATAAATGATGTGAATATGTTGACGATGGTGGCAGTATATTACCATTATGTAGTCATATACATAAAGCTAACAGGCACCCTTAACAATTTATGGCTTGCGAATATTGAGAGATTGATTAAAACAAAAGAACATAAGAAATTATCAACCTTCATACAAACCTTTTTTTTTCAGATGCAATCTGATTTGCCACTTGTACAAAAACAACTGACTTTGACTGGCCTTGTATTGGGAGCCATATCACAAATGAATTGGGCAGTCTGTTCTTCATTTGAGGGAACGTGTGCCACAGCAGTTGCTTCTAAGGCAACACAGCACTGCACATCTTTGTCATGCGCAAGTGGAGCCTTTAAGCATAAAGGAAATGGGCCTTTTGTGGAGTGGAACAGACTGGGCTCACTCTCGGTGCTGGTTTTTTGAAGAGGGGGGAACCAAAGGGCTTTACAGAGATCACAGTCTGATTCTATCCATATGAAAGGTCTGTAAGAGAAGGGGTGGGGTTGGTATGGGTGGCTGTGGCTTACTTGGATGACAACATGGCAGTGTATTTAGAAGGATGGCCATTTTGTTCCCCATTCATTAGGGCACAGCAGGACAGCCTGGGAAAAACATGGTATCCCTAAAGGCAAACAGGCAAACTGGGGTGAAGAAGTATTCCACAAGCTGCTCAATTTTGTGTGAAAAGAAGGAAGACTTTGAATAGATGGCATTATCCCTCTGTTTTATCTCTGACACGGGCTCCGCTGGGATAAAGAGCCTAAAATGTGCAGTCAAAATGACTTTAGAGTTCACACAGAAGTATCCACAACTAATTCTTAGCTCTTCCTTAATTATTTCTAATGACCATGTTTAATGTTCTTGGAAAACGTTGTCGCCAAATGTCAGAAATGTCCAAAGTAGTGTCAGCATAGGGCAGAGAACACAGTAAGATGGATACTTTAGAGGCTGTAGTATTGTTAAGTAATAATAATAGATTGTTAGGTACCGGAATCTGGTATGTTGAGTGCAGTGATTCCTTATTGGTGTTTTAAATTAGTGCTACAAGGAAAAACAAAACATCCTATTAAACCCCCCTTCGCTGCCCCCAACTCCTCGGGGTTAAGACCCCCACTGGAGCCAGTATCCCATCATTCATCAAGCCAGACACACTGGCAGATTTATGGCATGTCCCACTGAGCAGAAGAGATTAACTATGTATTAGGGGAAATAGTCAAATTAGCGGAGAAAGCTGGAGATAAGGTGGTTGGGAACCACATGCCATAGTTACAACAGCCCTCTTTTTCAAGTACCCTGATTTTTACTTAGCATTTACCAGAGGACATATAAAGTCACTTTTCATGTACAAGCTATGTCGTCTTAGATCTTACTTACATCTATGTTTTATTCTCCATTACAGGTCAGGACATGGTTGCAGCATTTAAGAGCTGACCCTAAATTCATTGTGATGCATAGTTTCAAGTGTGACTGTGTACACCAACACAGCAGTGACCAGGATTACCATGTCAAACACCTACATGCATACTGGCCTTTTCTCCACGCCTGTGTTACAATGGCGATGCATAGCATCAGTGCTGTCTGCATATCAAAGTACAGCTAAATCAACGTAAGAGAAACGCCCAGGCCGAAGTGTGAAGTACTACACGATAATCTTCTCAAGTGCATTCACTAAGATGATTGCTCCTTAGTGTATTCCTAACTGAGCCCTTATTACCTTTTATTGTAGACATGTCTTCTGTAACACTGTGAATTGGGAAAGCTGATCTCGAAGTTCGACTGCATCTGCATTTATGGCTGAACTGAAATCTTGCGTCTAACTGCTGCCACTTGGCTTATTGGAGGCCACAGATGTTAAGCAGCAAAGCAAAACAAAACACGAGATCTTTTATTTAATTTATTTATTAGATTATAAATATACATTTCATGATATGTACAAAAGGCAGTAGGACCTGTAAGCTACAAATATTACAGTAAAGTGCAGGTAAGTCCGTCAAGTCCACGCCAGCGTTGTAATCGGAGTTACTTGGGTCCTCTCGGCCTGCGCCTGTTCTGACCGTGGCCGCTCTGCCTCCGCGCGCACACGTACTTGACCGTCACCTGCGAGCAGCGTTCGCACTTCACCGTGCAGCACCAGTGGAACTTGCAGTTGCAGCTGCTCACCGTCTCCGTGCGCCTCTCCTCCACACGCAGGCCGCACTCGTGGCACAGGCGGCGGCAGCTGCGCCTCTCCCACTGCGAGAGGCCGTCCCCGTGCTGCACGCACTCCCTGCCCTCCGTGCCGTGCAGGCCCAGGCTCGAGTTCTTGGCGCAGTAGTCCGGGGAGTCCTCCAGGTAGATGAGCTCGGAACGCGAGATGGCGCCCAGCGCGTCCGCCACCGCCCCGCGCGGATCTGCGCTGTTGCCCGCGCGCACTCGCCTCTTGTCCATCTCCAGCTTGTGCGCCTGGTCGTGCTTCAGCTTCAAGTAGTCGCCCACCTCGCGGAAGTCGGACAGCTGCATCCAGCACGTCTGGAGGGCGCAGCTTTCGGACATCCCGTGGCATCTGCAGATTCTTTTCATGGTTGCCTTTACAGCCTGAAATGAAAGATATGGTTTTAGAAGACATCCCCAATGGACATTGAAATCCCTTAGCTTTATAAGCTTGGCTACAGCATTGGCCGTAAACGTGTTGGGACTGACCAAACGGCCTGCGGCGTTGTTATGAAGGTTGACTGCAGCTCGCGCATCTTGCCCAGTCTCGAAAGCATCTACATACTGTTTGGAAATCCTCTCGCCAAAGTCCACGTTGTCGCTGCAGCCTCCCCAAAGCCATCCACGACCCCCTGACATAAGAATTGACCAGCAGACTCGTCACATGGATTGAGTAATAGCTATTATGCAGTACCACATCTCGTTTAAGCAATATTCAGTCACTAAGTGCTTTAAGGGTCCCTTCTAAAGTTCTTACCAAGTTTGCCGTTTCTTGAGTTGTCGCATCCACAGTTGTCCAGATCCCCAAGGCTACAGTTCCTGGTCAGAGTGTACATGACCCCCGCTGCACTGATGGCGTGGACAAACGACGTTTCTCTTGTTGCTGTAGGCAGGAAACAATGTTAGTGGGCTGTACAGAAATGAAAGGATGTAGGTGTTCAGCAGCTCTCTGCACTCACACATCTTACCGCTTCTCAGACGTTTAGCAGTGGCCAGGTGAAAGGTGCTCTCCGGGCAGTTCCACCTGTCCCACGCAAACTGGTGTTTGCACTCCTGCATGCCGCTCTGCGCTCCGGCCAGCACGCTGCTCGCGTAGGTTAGATACGCCTGGAGGGGGTAGAAGGGTTAGTCTCTGAAACCCTTTTCGATACAGGCTATTTGATAAGAATGCTCTGTGCCAAATACGTTATTATGAGTACTATAAAGCCATTATTTCATGGTCAGACTGTCACGGTGCTGTATATCATTTTTAAAGAAATAATCACAGTCCTCAAGAGAAGAAATGTCTCACTGTTGAACTTACTTTTGGTCCAGTCATGAGGAAATTGTTAACAGCCCTAAAAGACAAGAGAAAGCAAAGCCAAACGTGAATAATGTTTAAAAGCAGCATTATTCAATTCTAGTAATCCATTATATAGTAATATTTCTTACCATGAGTGTCCCAAGAGGGTTTTGTGATAAATAAAAAAGACAAAAGTCCAGAGAAACGAATAAACCATTGTTTTTGCGGGATCACGCAGCTCCACGCTCCAAGAAAGTTATAAGCATCTGATACTTCATTTCAGACTCGTTTTAGATATTTATGCAATCCACATCAGTGGCCATGTGGGGGGATTACCTTTTGTCAGAGAATCCCTGGAAGTCCATTGGCCCAAACAAGTCGAGGAAACGCCCCCCATGAACTACAAAGGATATCTATAGAGAGCTGTTTATTTTCTCTCTGCGGGCAGCAACGCATGATCTCCGAAATTAATGCATTAATCCAGGGATCCTGGAGGGAATTTACTGTTCAATATACTTTTACTTCAGTGCGTTTTATTTCTCCGCAGTTCTGGATAATCTTATCACCCCTTGTCAGATTACACGTTTTGTTGATTTTCTAAGTGGGAAGAAGTTTCTCTACAAAAACAATATAAGTTGTGCACAAAAATCATCAGGAAATGCCATATTTCAGTGTGTTTTCATTCAGAAAATCAACATGTAATTTTTACCCGGGGTGTTCAAACTTTTCTGTACGAAAAATGAATGAATGGATGGATGGATGAAAAACCAAGTGAAAGTAAATACATCTCAGAGACAAATTATAGCAGAAATATTTAATGTTTTCTAAATACAAAATATCAATGAACACAGAGATAAAAAAAGAGTATCATAAACAATGTAAACCTTTTAGCACCTGTGAAATAAACACTGTCAAGCTGTGTCAGAAAAACAAGATCGTGTTTATGGTGAAGGAACAATGATTTATAATATAAGTTTAAAGGCTTAACAACGAATTATGTGATCTGAAAATAAGAACAAAAAAAGTGCAAGAATAGAACATAAGTACTGGAAATGATTCTACCCAACTGACAGTGGAAAGGCTTGTCTGAGCTAGAGGGTGGTCACTTTTCCTGATGTCAGTCTCGTGTTAAAATAATATGGTCAATAAAATATATTTACAAATATACAGTTTTATAATTTAGCATGGGGGGTGGAGGTGGGAAGCTAACGGTTGCGCACGCGATGTCTCCTCCGCGAACTTTGTGGCCGACTGCTTTTGTTCTTCTTTGTGCAAAAGTATTTGGTCACGACTTGCGTGCATTTCTCGCACTTCACCGTGCAGCACCAGTGGAACTTGCAGTTGCAGCTGCTGACCGTCTCAATCCTCCTCTCCTCCACTTTAAGGCCGCATTCGTGGCACAGCCTCCTGCAGCTCCGCTTCTCCCACTGCGACAGGTTCTTTCCGCCCTGCAGACACTCTCTGCCCTCCGTGCCGTGCAGCCCCAGGCTCAGGTTCCTCACGCAGTAGTTGGGAGAGTCTTCTAAGTGGACGAGCTCCGCGGGCGCAATGCTGCTGAAAGTGTCCGCGATGGTGCCGCGGTTGTCCGCGCTGTTGCCCGCTCTCATCCTCCTCTTGTCCATCTCCAGCTTCTGCGCATGGTCGTACTTGATCTTCAGATAGTTGCCCACGTCCCTGAAGTCAGAGAGCTGCATCCAGCAGGTCTGAATGCTGCAGCTGCCGGACACGCCGTGGCACTTGCAGGACCTCTTCATCGTGGCCTTGATGGCCTGAAATTCAAGATGCAAGATTGCCTATAATTAACGATGACATTCAGACTGCAAGGAGACCCTCCAATTCTACTTGAAAATGAATAGTTCTCAATATTGCCTTAGTTAAAAAGGACACTTACAAGTCTCCCCGCCTCGTTGTTGTGTAAGTTCACAGCAGCTCGTGAATCGTGGCCATTTTCCAGGGCGTCCACGAACTGCTTGGAAATGTTTTCCCCAAAGTTAACATTGTCACTGCAGCCGCCCCAAATCCAACCTCGACCTCCTGGGAACCCAGAAATCCATAGCATGTTAATAAACATTTCACGCAAACTGTTCTCCAAGCAGTACTATCCATGCAGTAATATTAGATATCTGGGCCTTATGATGCTTACCCATTTTCCCAGCCTTCGAGTCGTCGCAGCCACAGTTATCGAAGTCTCCCATGCTGCAGTTCTTGGTCAGTGTATACATCACTCCGGCCGCACTAATGGCATGCAAAAAAGCGGTCTCTTTGGTAGCTGGAATAAAGAAGGAAACGTACTTATTAGAATAGTTTTTAATGCAGTTGGATTTAAAGTATATAAAGTATATAATGGCAAATATGTTGAGAATAAGGTATTTTTGTGTAAGCCTGTTACTTACTAACTGATGGATTGACTTCCATTTATTTATTTATTCATTAATTATTTATTTGAAATGTTACTGAAAGAGAAGATTATCCTTACCACTCCGCAGTCCTTTATGTGTTGATAACTGCAGCTCGCTCTCTGGACAGTTCCACCTGTCCCATGCGAACTGGTGTTTGCACTCCTCGATGCCTCGCTGTGCGCCCGCTTGCACACTGCTTGAATAAGTAAGATATGCCTGTAGAAATAAAAACCCAGATATTAGCCTATAATTGTCTGATATTAAGTGCTTCTGTCCATTCTGTTAGAAGCCTGACACAATCGTTCCATAATAGGTCAACATTAAGATTCATAGCTCACCTTGGGTCCTGTCATCAGAAAGTTATTCACAGACCTGGAGAGACGAAAAGAAGGGAAAACATCAAGGTTAAAAATGTTTTGCATAATCAACTAAATAAATAGAGAATATAGTTAGATCATGTTGGGCAGTACGCAGATCTTCAAAATAGCAACGATTATAATGAATAGTGAATAAATATGATGTACCATGCGGTAGTGGACAGCACATGACAGCACATGGAGAGGACCAAAGATGTGAGAAGCTGGCAGGAGCCCATGGATGCGATCGCGTCCTCTGACTCTCCGAGACTGCTCTCTTGCAGGGGTCCGATGTGTAAGTACTGAGTGGGTTATCCAGAAAGAGACAGAGGCAATTGACTACGGGCTTGAATGGTCACGGTATTTATACCTATCGCCAACTCTGAGTGACAGGGTCCCCCCCCCAACCTTTAACATTTCGCTGTGAAATGACGATGAGGTGGTCACTGGATGGCGGTTGGTCGGACGTAGGAAATGCCAGCGTACAACTGCACTTCAAAGCAGGAGCGCAATAACCCCTCATTATTTTCTTCTTTCCCATGGACTTTAGATAAATATTCTACTGTTACTTATAATAATAATAATAATAATAATTATTATTATTATTATTATTATTATTATTATTGCTATTATTATTCCATTTTTGTAAAAATCAAAGAAGCGGATCTATAGTGGTAGTGTATTTATGTTTTACATGTTGATGTGCAGTGCTATACACATTCAAGTGTATTGAGCTGATGGCTGTGCCTTGTCTATCGGAGGTGTTTGTGTAGTCCATTTGGACAATACACTAGTTGTTGATTGTCCATTTGTACATTTTGCATTTGGACAACTGGACAATACACTGTTTGTTGATTGTCCAATTGTGCATTCAGCACTGGACTTGCAGCCCAAACATTTCCATTTCTTCACATTGGTTTTATTTATTTATTTATTTATTTTTTTTGCTTTAGTGTTATAGATTTTTTAACTCTTTTTAGTTTCCCAGCTTTGTTTTGGTGTTAAACTGCATTGAAATGGTTGTTCTACATCGTTTACAAAAAAGCCATAAAATCATTCAACACAGTACGCTAAGGGCCATGCAAATAACATGTCGCTCATGTACGACTTTGACACTGGAGTGTTAATAGAACAGCCTGGGAACGAATCTGGTGCGAAGATAGTCTGAACATCACTGATGTTGGCCTTATACACTTGTACTAATAATTCACCACTCTCATTTGATCTATTCCATAAGTGCGCAGATCAGGGTTTAAGACTCAGGGTTTTAAGTGGAGAAGATGCTGGTCTCCTAATGATGACCACACTCTTCCTTGACATTATGTCGCCTTACATTTCACAAAGTGCCAATCATATTTTTTTTATATCCTAAAACAGTGTTCATGTAAGACAAATTCAACACAGATGAAGTGAATTCATGGTAGACTCGTAATCATAGTGGGTAAGGGAATCCAGGCATGGCTTGACAGTCATGAACATATACGGAGAAAATAATTTTATCACCTAACTACTTTCGATGACTTTTGCGATTAATTAATACTATATGGAAATGTGATTTCATATGGCAAAGATTAATTGTTGAAACCACACTTTGACATCGAATTTCGAATCAAATCATCGGCCAATCAAAATCCCTTTAACCCGGTGTTTATTTGATGGCCGGACAATGGCTAAAGCACTCGAGCCCCTCGGCTTAAGCGGTTCAACTCATGCTAAGACAATAGTGGGACGCGCAGGTGAGGATAATCCTCACTAATTGCTTATCGGCGACATCAAGCCCTGACGGAGCCTGAAACCCAAACTCCCACACCTACTTGTCAAAAACTAAAGGCCTGTTAAACCGCCATCTTTGATGCCCTCGCGCGTAGCCTAAAGCACGCCAAGGTAAACACTCGGTTGTCGACATTTTTGGGAATGGATTTATGGGTCAGCAAACTTAGAAACAACAGAGCGACACCCAAGGCGTTTTACAGTTCTAGATTATGACATGAGGCTGCGAACAGTCTGAATCCGTAGAGCTCCAGGTTTAGGTTGTGCTAAGAAAGGCTAAAGTGATGTTGCTCCCCTACGCTCCGCAGAATGAACCCACGTCTGAGCGGAACCTACCTTGAGGCAAAGGGCTTCCATTTTGAACCACTCAGGTGCCGTTGATTGCAGCCAATGAGTGAATCCTCATGATATTTTAGCTAAACCGGAAGGCAATTCGGGTGAGGGTCATACACTTCGTGAGTGGGCTACCACGGCAGTGTGTTGTCTGACGGGGCAGCCCTACATAACCGCTTTGGCCGTGTTCATGACTCCGTTAAAGCACGTTAGTCTTAGCAACATTTCCCTTTAAGGTACATGGCTTCCATTAAGCGTGTCCTTAGGTACTTCAACAGAAATTTACAGCTGTGTTCATGATGGCTTTGCAGGCTGATAAGTGAGGTAATAAAAGCGATAAAGGGTGGGATATTGGCATGGCACTGTAAGGGGTCTTGGATTCACACGGTCAGGTACAAGGGCGGCAGGAGCAGTGTCGCCAGGCTCGCCGTGCTTCAGTGATGTCCGTACCGCAGAGGAGGGCTCAGAGGAGACCCAGGCGCCTCTTCTCACACCTCATTAGCAAATAAGACCACGCTGAGGTGAAAGCAATATCTCACGAGTAGCCTAATCTGGCAGGGTTTGTGAATGACTAGCCTTTTTTATTCGAGAGATTATTTCATCTGGACAAATGATGCTGTTTTGAAGGCAAAATATGAGGACTAAATGACTAGTAGTGGTGCTAATGTCTGTGCCAGTGCTGTTGAAAAATTAGTTCCTTCTTAACTTTGGAGTGTTACCGCATTACCGCCGCCTGCTGGCCACATGCTGAATAGCCGTATTGCTGCCTCATAACTGATGTGAACTGAGTTGGTTAATACATACAATATTAAAATGTACTGATTAATAGATTCTAACTGAGTAGGTGAGAATGTGGTTGTTAGCACAGTATTAACCTCTGGGTCAGTCAGAACTAACAAAAATAAAATGATTGCCCTCTTAAAATGAGTGAATGTTGATCATAAGGGCTGAACTATAAGTGAGTGTCTCATGATTAAAATAACATTAATTTTACATTTAAATTATTGAGTGAAAGATTGACCAGTTTTTATTTTAGCTTATCTTTTAACAAAGCAATGTTTAAATCAGTAAATAGAAAAGTTGGGATAATTTTATTTTTTTTTTTTTGGTAATAAAGGAAAATAGGGTAAAGGAAAATATGGGTAAAGCATCCCAGTTTTATTTTTCTTATTATTGTTCTTATTGCTCTTCAGTACAAGCCAATATAAAATGAACAAAACATTCACTGTGTTTAATTGATTCAAAAATCATTATTTGGTTTATATTTGTGGTTTGCTTTAAACTAAAAGGATGATTTCTATTTGTTGCTTCATTTTTTTAAACTATGGCTTTTTAATGTTGTGCCAACCATCCCCATAACATGTGCCAAGTGCATGGCTTGAATTTAATCATGAATGCAGTAATCCCTGATATTTGAATTTTTTTTTCAAGCTAATATGCTCAGCTTTCGTTTGCTGCTAGGCCTAATGGTTGTCCTAATTTATAGTATGCCTACAATATACAGCGGAGAGTGAAAACTGTGCCAAGAAACCCCACTCTCCTCTACATTCTCTAGTTATCACAGATAAGTTTACTGTACAATTGTAAAAACCTTTCTGAAGACATACTGTAGGAGAGAGTGGGGCACTAACACGAGGTGAAAGTTCAAGTAAAACATGCTTTTAGTCCTGTTCTCGTATTCTCTGGTCATATGTAAATTTTGACAGCAGTCAGACAGTCAGACAGATATTTTTTGAGATTCACCATGAAGGCTGTTTTTGTACCATGAAAGTACCTTGTTCATCCTGCATGGCATGTTTTTTTTTCATTTTTTAAATGAGCCGTGTGTGTAGAAGTCACATAATTCACTCATATATTGTTTTAATCAGCATTTTAGTGGCTGTAATGTAGCAGCTGTTTTCAAAACATGTAAACAGGTTACAGTGAGAGTTAGCCAGGCTAAAGTACAGCCTCCAGACAGCGGGTTTAGTTCTAATATAGTGTTACAACTAAGCCTCCTAAATGATAAGTCCATATTTTTCCACATAAATTCAACAGTCAGTTTTTTGGACGTTTTTATGCACAGATTCATCAAAAATGTACTACAGATGATGTACATAAAATCTTTATTTCAATGCTGTTGTATGTTCATCTCCTTGGTGGTCAAAATCAATTTGCCACATTTGATGCAGTCTCTTTTAACTAATGATATTTATTTTGATCATGTATTTTTACATATTTAGGTTGGAAAGCGTGTCTGGTTCAGACAACACAGAAATGTATTTATTTGTGTTTTAGTCAATTTACCAGACTTTTTAGTGACTGTTACAACTAGCTCCTTTGTCTGTTACAACAAACTCCACCCACCGGGTAGGCCATAACGTGTCACTCTGCTTTTGGCAGAATTGTTGTTAAACAAAGAATCAAAGATTACATATTCGTTAGGAGACTGATTCTACATGACATTAGTAGTCTGTGGTGACCTTTTGTCATGGGAAGTATTAATTAACTAAGAATACTATTAGGGAAAATTTGGTATATCAGAAAATGCTTAAGAATTTGCTAATTATCTACTCAAAATCATGTTGTTCTTAGCTGAACAGCACTCTATGTGTCTGTATCTTGTGTCAACTAACTAAAAGATAAAGATTGAAAGTATAAGAGGAAAATAAAAAAACGGTATTAGTTGAAGACTGAAAATAGGACTAGACCATATAGTCAAAAGTAGTGTTATATTTTTTTATTGTAAATTTTCTCCTTTACCATGTCCCACAGCTCAGAATAGTTAACAAAGCTGGTTTTGAAGATTAGGAGTCACATCTAATACTGTGTGTGATCATATTTGTCTTTATTTCATGAAGAACATTGTTAGAAAATTAAGAAAAATGCCCCATTGCACTGAACAGAATTTGGTAAAAGATCCATGTTCGGACCCTGTCTTATGCCACCCCATGTCTTGTTCTCCCAATCTTAGGCCCCAGTGACTCCCATCACCTTGATAACCATGCATCACTTGGGGCAGTAGCACCCTTTAAACTGAAATAGAAAATGTAAATAGTGATTGGTTCAAAGTGCCATCAGAGGAACATCTGTTGTGCTTGGCCCTGCTCCTCTCCATCAGGTCAGGGGCTCGCATCTCCTTTCCTCTCCTGCTCAATAGCTGAAACACAGAGCAAAGAGTGTATGTTAGTGAGTACAGTGGCACTGTCCTCTTTCTGTCAGCGGACGTGACATCATTACAAAAATGGTCATTATTATTCATTCTGTAAATTTTGTGCTGCAGACAAGCCTGCGCTGGAGTGCTGAATGAGGATTTTGACTGAAGTAGAGCTGACGCCTATCTGCTGACATGAGAATATGTGGCTGGGGGGGGCTGCATGCTGAGCTCAGTGTTGGAGGGAGAGAGAGAGAGGTGAAAAAGAAAGGAATGGGAGGGATTATGTCAGAGAGAGATTGGAATAAAATGACAAATGACTAAGCTGAGGAATAAAGAACAAAATGATGAAGACAGGATGGACAAAGCATTTGTTTTTTCTCTTTTTTTTTCTCCTCAGACAGAAGAAGCTACAGCAGAACTCCATACCACACCCCAAACCGTTAGGATGCACACTGCATGCAGTGCTTCAGGGGGTCACTCACTCTCTTTGGTGGGCAGAGGGTTCTTTTCCTTTGTTTCGGTCTTCTTCAGCTTGGTTTTGTCAAACCTGGCAATCTCGGTGAGGTCGGGCTTGTCAGACATTTTTGCTGTCAACAGAGATGACAGGTTTTACTGACAGTTGCAGAGCTGTGACCTTGCTTTGTCTCCCTAAAGCATTTATCTCTGGACAACTCAATATGTGTCTAATTAAAATGATCTCACCTCGCTTTGATTTGATGATTTGCGATACTTTGTCGCATTTTCCAAAGTGCATTTTAATAAATCTTTATTTTGATGACACAAACACTCTCCTCTCAGCAATTGTCCTGTCAGATGCTTATCTATATTTCAGTACAGCCACAGCTAAATGTCAGAGCCAGCAGTGCTGTGTCTCCTGTCTATTCATGTATGTGATATGGTCTCACACGTGTGCTACAGCCGTCCGCCCATGTATGCATCACGCTCCAATCCAAATTCTCCACCTTCTGCTCACCTCTCCCCATATGTGAACATTTTCTCTCTCTGCCTGTCTCTCCAGCTCTTTGTTCTCTTTATGCTGCTTCATTCATGCCACTGAAGGCTCCCCCATCTTTGCTAGCAGACCACCTGCCCCATTCCCCGCCGTCTCTGCTGTGATTGTCCTCCGTCATGAGCTAAATAACTGTCCCTTCAGTGGAGAAAGCTTAAACCTTGCTTTGCTGCTTTACTGCCTGACTCCTATTTCCATAGTGTTACCATCCATATCTCTTCCTCTGTGGCTGGTCTCCAGCTACCGCACCCACCTTGCGCATGTGAACGTACATTCTCCTGCACACGCTTTAGAAGATGCCTGCTTACATACTTTCTTTCTTCTTGTACATTGAGAGGGTGATTAGAGGTAAAGGATAGAGAATGGCTTACCGTATGGCACAAAGCGACTGAGTCGGGGGAGAGAGAGAGAGAGAGAGACTGTCCGTCTGCAGTGTCTGCCGGCGTCTGTGCCTCTGCGTCTGCACCAGGGCGTGGGTTTATGAGTGAGTGAGAGAGCGGGAGAGAGAGAGAGAGAGAAAGTGAGTCTGACCAGCCCACCCCCTCCTGCTTTCCCCCTTCCTCTAGTTATTATTGATGCACCCCCTGGGAATAGACTGGAGATGTCAGTGAAAGCATCAGCAGAAGAGCTTTACTCTATTTATTGCAAGATGCATTAATACAGATTGGCAGTATGACTGGTGTTTGAATGGACAGGGGGGCATATGATTTTTGGGTAGGGGGCACAGCTGCAGGCAAGGATGGAGTGTTACGTAACAGCAATGCAACACAGTGTGTGTGAGCGTATGTGCATGTGTGTGTGTCTGGCAGCTGCCTGGTGGGGGGAAGGGCCGTAGCTCTGAGCTAAATGTATTGTGATTATGCGAAAACCCCAGGCCCTGAGTCATCTAATTTTGAAACACATTTCAAGTCTGTGGTTAAACTGTACTAAACTTGCATTTTCAGTTTTTGTTCTGTGCTTTCTTCTCAGCTCTGACCATAAATGGTAGACATTTTGTTAAACCCTATTTTTAATACCTGATTAAACCTACTATGTTCCTTTCAAGTGATCCGAATGGTAGGAGAAATACAGCTGATGACCCAGTGCGTTTAATCATAATGAGTAACTTTTATTCTTAGTCCAGAATGTAAGAGTGGGTGCTGATGTCTTTAGTAACATGACATCATTTCTTGTGAGCTCAGAGTTCTGAACACAGTGACACTAGCCAGGGCATTCAAGACACAAGGAAAAGGCAAAAGCAGTGAGCTTTGCTCTCTCTCTCTCTCTCTATCTATCTATCTATCTATCTATATATATATATATATATATATTTAACTACATTTATGCCACTATTCATAAAATACCATTATTACAGATTAGTAGGGATGTATTGGTTATGTATTGGTTATTGCCTTATTCGGATGTTTTATTCAGTGTTCATCAATGAGGTATAAATGCTTCTGAGAACGTTTTTATGCATTCCTCTTTCACTTCCAACCTAAATCTAACTTGCCTCATCTGGCTAATCAAAGTCTTCTAAAGTCTGATGACAGTAGTCTGATTAATCAGCTGTGAATAAGGTTTGGAGTGAAACTTGACAGCAGAGCTGTATGTAAACATTTTGAGCATGTAGCACTGGTGCTAGCAATGTTGCAAGTGGTGTAGCACAAATATTAAAAAAGTTGCACTGAAATAAAAACTAGGGATGCACGATGAGATTATATTCATATCAGTATCAGCAGATATTTGCTTTAAAAAAGCACCCCAGTAGAGCAGGATGTTTAAGTGACTCTGGGCTACTGTACTAAACTGTCTGCATTTTATTTGTTTTACTGCAGCTGTAACCCTCTACAGGAGTGTGTAAAATTTCTCTGTAATGCTAATCCATGTGGAGTTAGTACGAAATTGTACGTCTTATAAATGTTTATGCCTCAGCATAGGCCTCTGCAGATATGTACAAAGGTAGTATGGACACCTGGGGTGCCTTAGCCTCTAAATCCAAAGACATCTTTGGGTTGATTTCTTTTTTTTTTTCAGTAAGCAAATAATAAAATCCAACATCATAGCTGGCTGTACATATGGCATTACCAAACTGAACAACTTTTTGCATGTTTTGTACATCGTGAGGATCTTAACGTGCTGGGGTAAAAAACAGCTTAGACCAGCATGAATTCTGTACTGGTCTAAGCTGGTTTCTGCTGATCAAAAAATTGTTTTATCTGGTCACCCAGCATAGACACGCTTATTAACCAGGATACCAGCATCCAAAACACAACATATGCTGGTTTTAGTGTTGATAAGCATAACAACTTCCATTGCTGAAGCACACCCACCTGAACCTGTGTCTTAGTTTGCATGACTACACTGAGATCACTCTAGCATTGGGGAGATATTTGATATTTAACACACCACATAGTGAGAATAGTTCACAGATTACATAGTTTACAATTACCATGAGCACTAGGGACGGACAAAATATTTTATTGGGTATATATACACCTGACAAAGTTCATTCGCACATGTGTAACTAATCTTTCTTTTGTTGTTGGTGTTGTTTTGTATTCACACAGGATTTGGGTTGCACTGTACAGCCCTGCTTGACAAGATAGGAAACCTGCAGACCTGAGTTCGACCAAGCTAAGTGACCTTCAAACATGGAGACTCTGAAGCCATCTAGTGGTAAGTTTATCACATTACAGAATAGTTTAGTGTGGTGTGTTTTGTATTGTAAGTTTCAGCATTCACCTGGTACATGTCTTACTTGTCAGAACACAATCATTGGGTAAATAATCATTATAGAGGCTTATACAGCTATAATAAAGACCATCATAGAGGTTATACAGACATTTCTCAGGCAATATGTGCACAGTGTACAGTATATTCCATGAATGTGCTTTGAGCTTTGGACTTAATGTGCAAGACAATATGCATAGACAGCATAAGTATTTCAATGGCATGTAAATGGACAGGTGTAATAACTGTGCTGCAAAGACAGTAGTGCAAAATGATGTAAACAGAAATAGTGCAAGGAAAAGACAGTTTGTGTATGTGTAGTGGTACATTACTTGTAAGAAAAAATATATAAACAGGCTTAGACCTGCCAGAAGTTGTTAATGAAATCTAAGTTCAAAATTCAAGTGTGAATGCTAGACATATTGGAATGTAGCTACTGGTAACTGCCCAGAGTTTTTAAAAATTGGCCTTGTATTGTCAAGAGGTCATAAGCTTAGTTGCAGCTGGTGTCACTGTGCCTTGACAATTAAGTTAGTCCATGGTACTGTCCTCATACGTTAATGTAATAGGTTAAGTTCTTTTGGCAAAAGCACAAGCTACATAGCTAATAATAAGTCTGACAGTTGTTCTGCTTTCAGCACAAAGCTTACAAAATGCTTTCTTTGCTGGGTTTGACATAAAGTGGTCAATTTTGCAAGATGATGCAAACACACAACATCAAGTTTGCAATATGTATGTCGTTGCTATCCAAAAAAAAGAATCTCAAAAATAGTAACTTTCCAAGAGAAAGCAAACAGTATCGTAAATTTTAATGTTAAGTCAAGTTTTATTTCAAGCAATTTTGGAGAATTTCTTTTGGCCCATTCATCATTACATTTTTACACAATGTAAAGGACTGCTGCCATGTTAAAATGTAGAAAAGTAAAAATTGAAAAAATGGAGATACATACAGTAACAAAATGATTAATTGGTTTCACCTTATTGAGGATTTGTTTGTCTTGAAGGAAAGCACCTAACCGAACAGTGTAGCAGCAGTAGTAGTAGCTTCAAACAGCAATTCTCAAACTCGTCCTCAGGGAGTCCCCAGATGATACATATTTCTGCTCCATCCTTATGTGTTGGGAATTGTGATCACTAATAATAAAAATGTGGACCTCTGGGAGTGCCTGAGGACTGGTTTAAGAACCAAAGCATATCATTTCCCAGTAGTAGTCTGCTAATCCGTTTCCATTTAATGATAGATGCTTCCTCAAAGGCTGACAAGGCTCAGTAATTTTGGTCTTACAAAAGTGTGAAGGGTTCTGAAAGTTGTGTTTAGCTGAATGAATGTTTCAGAAAATATAACTAGCATCACAGGACCAGGGTGGTCAAAGGTGTGTGGTGAAATCATGCAAACAGACATGACATGACCAGGTAAGGGTGGGCAAATTAAACCATATTTAGTCACAATAGGCTTTTGTGAGCACGTTGGACATCTTAAATACCAAAAGAACACTGACCAACTGCACATTTCATTAAAAAGAGCATAATTAGTGTGTGTGTATTGTAGTATCATGCAGAAGGAGTCAAGACAGGCCAGAATTTCTATTCATACATGCCCTTTTATGTTGAACGTGGCAGAAAAGCCTCTTGCCTAACACCTGAAATAGCTGAGAAGGTCACCTACAGTTGTAAAATTCCACTCAACACTAGACACTTAACTAGGCTACCTAAACCCAATACTTGGCCCAAACACACAGTAAACACAAACTCATCTCAAACTAACAACAGTCCCTTTTTACTGAGGCCACACACCTCCCATGAGCTTCTTCCTATGGACCTTTTACATGCATGCTTGCAAACTCGAATTGTGTGCTCAATGCCATGTTTAAGTTTATTCCCTGTAGAGGATATGTGAACTTATTTTAACTAATAATTGTAAATGTAATTTGATGGGGGAGTTCAAAATGTAGATGAGACCAACCCCCTGAGAGTCATATGTCTGCTAAACAAGAATAAGAACACTTATATGGTGTGTCCAGGAGTGTAGTGATATGGTGAGTCTTGTATGGACTAGTCATGGCATTGGCATCATGGAGAATCTGTCAGTATTTACAATGGCGTAGTAGCCAGTGCTCTTACCCTGGCCAAATGATAAAGTGTATCACTTTGAAAGGCATTGCACTGTAATGTATGTCTACAGTGAATATAAGTAATTCTACCCAGGATATAATGCAAGACATGTAATGTCGCTGACATTTTTATCCTGTTCTGATTGAGATGACTGACAACATGAACATTTCATTGACCTCAACTACACCACTTACCTTCTAATGATGTTCAGTGGAAGTTGCACTCATTTCACCCAAATGGATAACATTGGCAACAACTGCCATGACCATGTTTTTACTGGAAATAAGTACCTTAAACTTTTAATTATTATTTATTTATTTGAATTAATAACTAGATTATTTTTCTATATATGTTCTATGTTTATAAATGCTTATTCCAATAGGTGTCATTTTCTATAAAGGTTACATTTACCATTTTTGAACAAAGTTAGCCAAAGTAGCCTTTATGACAGATGATGCCTATTGGAATAAGCATTTATACAGTTATGTAGGGTTATGTCAGTTGTCATGACAAGCTTATGTAGGTGTCATGTAGCCTTATGAACAGCACCCTACAGTTAAGTGTTACTGGAAAAATCTTAACTCAGTGATATCCAGAGCACAGAGCATTGCTGAGTTGTGAAATCCATCTGGATGCTTCATTTATAGAACTGATATAGACTTTTCTGCAGGAACGCTCACACTAC